AATGGACCATGCCAGGTCGGGTCAAGTATATACCAATTATAGTTATGGACTTAGACACTAATCCAACAATTAATCTATTTTATTATGATATTAGTGGTATTTACGAACTTTGTTATGATATTGCCATATTTAATTTTTGAAAATTCAACAAATTAGCAATTAATGGTCCCCGATTAATCCCGTCCTAGCCGATTAATCCCTTAACCCCATGCCACCAACTAGCTAACGTCGAGCATTTTTTACAACCTTGCTTATGACTATAAATATAAGTTACACTGAAAGCAAAAGAGTTTAGCTGAACTTACATAATTCCAATAGTAACTAAATGTAATAAATTGCTAGTATTGAGTACTATTTATTATAAAAAAACAAAACACAACATTAAAAGGAACTCGTGAGTAAGTTCTCCTTTGGTAGTCTCCATGGAAGCGTTATGCATTGCAACTTCACCACGTTGAATATGCATCATCTCATATAGTGTTGAATCTTTTTCTACAAGTTTCATGTACTTGGGATTGGACCAGTAAAACTGTGATTGTTGAGCGTGTTATCCTTAGACAAGCAACAAAATAAACTTATTAAGTTCTTTTTTATCAAATGAAAGTCAAAAAGTCAAAGGATGATGTAAGTAAACATATAGAAATCACAACTATAAGAGTTTATATTAAACCCTTGTACTTTGAAAGTACATTGCTATAATTGGGTAGCCAAAAATAGCAATGTACTTTCAAACACAATCTCATTTAGCTTGAAACAGTTCCAGATGAGACAAACATAATCAAACAAACAAAAGGGAAATTACTTTTAATAATCAAAAAAACATAAGGGAAATTATACATGACACAATAGAACTCCACAAGATTTATAGGGCTATCTTTGATGATAAGAATGCGAAGGGCATTCCAATCTTTTGCCAGACTAGAAATAAAAAATTGCAAAAAAAAAAGGAAAAAGATGTTCAAGAAGAATGACCTGTCCTGTAGCAAAAGGAAACATGTTCTGGAACATTCTAGGAATTGCTTGAGGAACATCTGTCACTTGTCCTACATTAAAACATATAAACAAAAAAAAAGGTTAAACATTCAGTAGATAAGACAATAGTGTTGCATCTTGATTTTCAAAGCTTATTTACATATGATGATATGCATCAATTTTATAAGGACAAAAAAAGATGAAAATGAGTTGATATGATAGACCTAGTCCTTACCACATAACAAGCTATCTGAAGGCGAAGAACAAGATCCAACTGATTCCAAAGTGGGACATCAACATTGCATTCTTACCCAATTCATACAAAAAACACAAACAAAACCACACACAACAACCAATAACACAACAATTATCCTCAATTTTCTGTATAAAATAAACAACTTAATAATCAATAACCCATCTAACAAGAGATCATAATTTATTTACGACAAATATCTGAAATACAAGGAACCCTGTTGCTGCCTAGAAGAATAATGAATAATGAATAAGTTTGGTTATCTGTTTTAGGTTTTGGAATAGAATGATGAATCTCATGGCGTTACCTTGAACAACAGAAACATAAACAAAAACATCATCTTTTCTTTGTAATTGTTGTTTTGGGATTGATGGAGTTGGAAGTTTATTAGCTTTTAAGGAATCAAAATTTGGTGGGGCAGAGCTAGTTCGAGCAGGTATCTACAAACACCAAAAGAATAAAATTACAAAAATACCCTTGTTGGGTTGTTCTAGTTACAAAATTTATATAACAATAAACATTTACCTGCATTACATTCTTGATACCAGGACTAATTGATCCTAATTAAAGTGGAAATGCCCTAGAAGCATCTGTAAGACCTGAACTAAAAAAAAGAGCACAAGTAGACAAAAAAATTACAAAAATACCCTTGTTTTAGTTACTACAATTACTTCGATTATACATTTTGATGGAGTTGAAGGACCAATAACATCATAACTGGGAACAGCTGTGTTACCCTGTGGAGGAGCCTTTGGGAGGCCGAGGGTGTTCTTCTGAATTGGTGTTTCAGATGGCTGCAAATATTAATAACTTTGTCACATTGGGAACTTTTACCAAGTTAAAAGCTAGGCAAAAGTGAGACACTTTATCTGACACCATCTCATTTATCTGGTTGAGATATAAAAGTTCATGCTTTTCATTTTTTGGGTTCTCATAAGTAAGGATGAACTCTTTGTATTCTCACTAGTCCATTTTCTCAATCTTTCCTGAGCTTGGGAACTTTTTCTATTGCCTCTTCATTTCTCTTTCTTCCTTCACTTTCATTAGTACCCACAACACCTTCAGATTTTGGTGGTTGAGAATCTTCTTCCACTTTGACTTTGACTTTGACCACATTGAGTTCAGAATCATTCTGGTCAACAATTTCCTCATTCAGTTCTACTTCCATCAATGGTTCCTCAAAAGCATATTGTTTATCCAATTGGATTTTATCTTTAGATTCCACATCATATGAAGCCGTTGGAAGCACTAAAAATAATAAAAAAAATGTTAAATGATTAAATGTGGATTTTTCAAAGTCCAATGTTGTGATATAAAGAAATAAAAAATAAAAAATACTTGAAACTGAACCCCAATTTGCTTCCAAACTATTTCGGCTACTTGAGCCACTATCTTTTGAATCACCACCTTCAATAACACTTTCCACTATCTTTTCCGCACTTTCAATAACACTTTCACTTTCAGATTCTTTTACAGTATCTTGTTTCAATTCTTCACTCAAAACTGATACACCATCATCAACTTCTGGACCATGTTCATGTTCATGTTCAACAAACTCCATAGTTTTATCATGGTCTTTGAAATCTTGTAACAAAGTCTCAACTTGATCTACTATAGGTATATCACTAGGAACAGAGAGTATATATTCAACTTTTTCTTCTTCTTCTTTTTCCCCTTGATCCTTGTCAGATTTTTAAGGTGCCACGTCATCAACCAATTTGATTTTATCTTTGTGGGAGTGGGACCCGTTTTTGATATTCGGTATCTGGGGTTTGAAAAACCTCGAGATTGTCATCACCTTTTAGAAGCTCCGTGGGACTGAATAACAGCTTGGTAGTATCTACAATTAAGAAAATGGTATCTAAATTAAGTAAGAAAAAATTGATGAAACTAGAACCCTAATGAAGACATATCATGTTTTAATTCGTATTACCAAATAATCGCTCTTCTGCACTTGGAGTACTGAATCCACCATCGGAAAACTTTGTTACTGCATCTGAAAACGAATCGTCTTCGGATTTAGAGGATCTTTCGTCAATGATCTTTTTCTCAATCTTGGGACCTAAAAAAGGTAAAGAAAGTTATTCAAAAATGCAAATGAAATGCGAGAAATCTTGAAGATAACAACTAGAAACTGAACTTAAGGTTATTTAGTTTCTTCCCCAAATGAGATGCAAGAGAATCTTTTATAGATCAGTAAAGCTCGAATAAGATACGATAAATCGATGTAGATATCAATTATACACATTAATTAGAAGTTCTTTTAGCATCTCGAAGAAAAATCCCAAATAAGATATCACGAAAATTTAAGTTCAGATTCTTACAGAGTCGATCAATGTATTAAGGAGACCCCAACGAGATGCAAGATATCACGAAAGATAGCATTTATAACATAAGATATAACCATAGCTTCGATTAGAATCTTCAACATATGAATAAATAAACCCAAAAGAAGATTCAAGAACATTCAAATAAAAAAACTCACTTGGGGTTATTTCAATATCTTCTTCATCAGAATGGTGTTCATTGTCTGAAACAGCTTCTGAATCAATAAGCTTAGGATACCCTTCAATGATAGAACGAAAACATACCTTAATCCATGCTTGTTCTTGTATAAGATAAAAGCGAGATTGATAGAAGAATGTAAAAAATTGGGATGACAGAAGAATGAAAACATACCTTAATTCGTGCGAGGTGGGGTGAATCCGAAATCGTCAGACGTTGTAGAGACAACTCGTATAGTAATGCCCTAAATCATAGGCTCTCTAAGAGGAAGAAAATGAGTGCGATTCTGATGGGAACCTTAGATTTCTGTCGATTCTTTCAAGTTTGAATCAGAAAATGAGAAAGAGTTAGGGAAATCAAGAGCGGAATGCTCCTCCTTCTTCGATTGACATTTACTGGTCGTGATTGCGAAGATGAAAGATAGAAGGAAGGTAGAAAAGAACAAGGAGGGTTTTCAAAATTTTGGGGATTTCGTTTTCCCCCTTTAACAAGAGACACACGTTTCATTAAAATTATAAGGCCACAATTATAGAGAACACACATTTAAGATAAAGCGCCTTCCGTGTTTTTAATTTTTTTTCTTGAGACACTAATTTAAGGACATGTAATAATGCGTGACCTAAATCCTTAATTTTTTTTGGAGAGATGACAATATTTTATGGTCACTCTTTTTTGCGTAACATAAGTCATTGTGTGTCGTGGTTTGCATGTCATTAAAGGCATATATATTCTAGTAACAATTAATGAAGTAATTTATTTCGTAAAGTCACCCTAAAATTTATATCAAGATCTAAATATACAACAATGTTACGACAGATTTATCTTTTAATTTCAAATTATACAAACTTCCGATACAACAAATTAAATACGCCCTATTAATTGTAAAATTTATAAAATAATAAAAGTGTCACATATTCTAGTCAACGGATGATGTAATAACCACAAATTATTAAAATAAAAAGTTATTTTTTTAACTACAGAGTAAATTATAGTTTCGGTCCATGTGGTTTTGTCAGATTCACATTTTTAATCCAACCTTTGAAAATTTGACAAGATGCATCCCTATGGTTTAGAGAAATTCTATTGCACATATTTAGTCCATTTAAAAAGAATAGTTTACCCTTATTTTTATACTTTTGTTTTTCTTTTATA